CCGCCGCCAGCCCCTGACGTGGGGGCTTCCCTTCTGAGAGAAAACAAAATGGCATCGCTTCCCCACGGAGGAGACAGCTGGCCGCGCGGGCGAGCATGTGGAGGTTCCTCCCCGCCCCTCCTTCCCGAGGCCCCACCTGCCGGGGCTCAGGCTGCCCTGCCGGCGTCTGTCCGGAGAGAGAGAAAGGACGACCGGCCCCACGTGTGTGTCCACCATGGTGTGTGGTCGCCCCTCCCTCCCCCACAAGGGCCATCTCCATCGTCCCGCCCGCACCCCTGGCCGCTCAGGACAACCCAGGAGGGGCCATCGCTTGCCCTGGGACTTCCCTGGGCAGCTGCATGGGGCCCCGAAGCCGGGTGCCATTGGAGCTCCAGGGCCAGTCCCCGGCCGCCGCGGTCTCCGCAGACGCAGCCCCGGCAGGTGGCTCTCTGTGCTGCTTCTGTAGCTCCGTGTGGTTATGGGGGAGCTTTTCCATTTTTAGAACCGAAAGTGTTTAGTCACCGATGCTTTTAAAGAAAATGACAGGCGCGCACATACAGACGCGCACAGTGGAGCTCGCCAGTCCGCGCTCTTAGCAGAGAGGCCCCGGGGTGTGGCGGGGGCCCCAGAGTGCACGTGCCCTCGTGGCTCCAGCTGCTGCTGGTCTGGGACAGTGAGGGTCAAGCCCTTCCCAGGGGGCTGGTGGCCTGAACCAACCACTTCCAACAGGGGACATGGTCTCCCTCGCAGGGCCCTGTGGGGGTGAGGCTGCCGCCTTGGACACGTCTGCCCGGTTGTAATGAGCTCTCCGTCCTTGCCTTCCCAGCGGATACGCCCATTGAGGAGTTCACGCCGACGCCGGCGTTCCCAGCCCTGCAGTACCTGGAGTCCGTGGACGAAGGCGGGGTGGCCTGGCAGGCCGGACTGAGGACGGGGGACTTCCTGATCGAGGTAGGGCTGCGGGTGTTCGTATCTTTCTGCCGGGGAGAGCGCTGACTCTCTGATGCTTGGGGTCCGTGGTCTGGACCGTGTGGCCATTGGGCCCGTGGGCGGTGCTCGTGGAGGCTGGCATGGACGTGTGCTCAGTTGTCGCCACCCGCCGTGGATTCCGTGTCCTGCAGATGTGTGTGTGCCTGGGTTGTCTTTGAGGCCGTGGCTGTGACTCTGGCGGGTGGAAGTGCGCGTGGAACTTGGCCACTGGTCTTGCCGTGGCCGGGAGAGAAGCGTGCCCGCCCTCATGTCGGCGCCACGTGTGGAGCTCCAGGCCAGTTCGCTGGGACCGTTGGATTGGGCACCACAAGGGCCGGTTGGACGGGCAGGGTCGTGGCTCTGGCTGGCGTGAGGCCTGTGGCTGATGTGTAAGTTGCAGGAACTGGCCTGTCGATGGAGGGGGCCTTCAGAGACCGAGGAACGTGGGCATGAGGGGCGTCTGAGGCTGATGGCACCGAAAGGAAGCCAGCTCCGACGCGTTGGGATCCGCCTTGCCTGGCAGTAGGAGGGGGCGTGCTCTTAAAGACCCAGGTGCCCATTCCTGCAGCCTCCACCGGGCGCCCCAGGCGCCCACACATCCGAGCTCCGGGCCCTTGTGCGGGTCGAGGTGTTACCTTCATCTTGTTGTGCAAGCGGCTGTTACTCTGTGGAGCCGTGAAGAAAACGGGCATGTGTTGTCCTCGCGAAAAGTACTTCAGGCGGTTGGGGCAGTGCCCGTGGCCCTCATCCGAGCTCTCGTGTCTTGGAAAAGCATTTCTCACGCTGACCCTGAGCCCTGTCTCATCCGTGTTGGAAACCCACGTGCAGGTGGAGGGGACGGGTATGGTGTCCAGCTGGCCACGTGGGGGTCCTGCCATCGGGCCGGCGGGACACTAGTCCGTTCTGAGGAGGCGGCAGCCCAGGCCGCGGCGACGGTCACTGAAGCCCTTGCTCTGGGCCCCGCCCGCGCTTCCCAGGTGGAGAAGTCCCCTTGCTCCAGGGTCTGTCGGCCTCGTACGGTTTGCTGGTTTGAATAGCTAGTGAGGGCCGCCGATGTATGCACGGCCCTGGCATGGGCTCCTCGTATTGTTTCCTTAATAAACTAGTCCACGGAGAAATGCAGGACGGCCGCAGCGAGCCTGGGCCACCCCTTGCCCGGGGGAGCAGAGCTGCCTGGGGTTGGCGGCCGGGGCGTGGTGCGCCTGGGCTGGGCAGAGAAGGCACGCCTCCCGGTCGGGTGGGAGCCCCGTGGAAACGGGGGCATAGGAGTTCCTGTAGCCCCGGCGGTGTGCTCGGTTGGTTGGACCATGGTCCCATGCACCGACGGTCGCAGGTTCCATCCCAGGTCGGGCGGGTACGTGAGGCAACAGAGGACATTCCCCCTCCCGCTCCCTTCCTCCCTCTCTGAAGTCCATGGAAACAGACCCGCGGGCGAGGATAAGAAAGCAGAGTTTACTCTTCACCAGACTCTGCCTCCGGCAGCTTTTCCCTGCTCTGCTCAGCGACCTGCCCCTGGAAGAGGTTTTATGCTGTGGGACCCTCTGAAGGCCAGGGTTCAGGAGTGCCCGGCCCTCGGGCGCATGGGGGCTCTGCTGGCGTTATGATGTCACAGGGCATGAGGGTGGGCCCGCCACAGCCAGGGCCCTGCCCCGCTGGAGCCCAGCTCCCTGCCCTTCATGTCCAAGGCCACCTGGTCGGCTCAGAATTTCCTTCAGGGGCTGGAATTGAAAAGCTGAGACTCTCCGTGGGGCTGTTTCCCAGCTGCCAGCTTCCCCCGCTGGAATATTAGAGTCCCTCCCGGCCTCAGAGCTGCCTTTCCCAGCAGACGGCGTCTATGGTTTTAGTGAAAAGCTTCGACCTGTAGGCGTTGTTCTCTCTGGACTCAGGTGTCTCAGCAAGAAGCCACCCCTGGAGTTGAGAGGCTTCTGAGCTTTTGCCCGAGTGCGGGTTTCCAGGTGCAGGATCCCAGGTGTGGGATCCCAGGTGCGGGGTCCCAGGTGCGGGGTCCCAGGTGTGGGAGTCCCAGGTGTGGGGTCCCGAAAAGCTTCGACCTGTAGGCGTTGTTCTCTCTGGACTCAGGTGTCTCAGCAAGAAGCCACCCCTGGAGTTGAGAGGCTTCTGAGCTTTTGCCCGAGTGCGGGTTTCCAGGTGCAGGATCCCAGGTGTGGGATCCCAGGTGCAGGGTCCCAGGTGCGGGGTCCCAGTTGCGGGGTCCCAGGTGTGGTCCCAGGTGCGGGGTCCTAGGTGCGGGGTCCCAGGTGCAGGCCATTGTCCTCATCCCACCACATCGCCCTGCGAGCCCCCTTTCTGTCTGCTCTTGGAAAGGAACTCAAAGTGTGTCTGATTTATCCTTTCTCCTTAAAACCTGCTGGATTGGACGTGGGGACGAGGGGCCCCTTGGCGGTGCCTGTTGCCTCTTCTGAGCCCTCAGCACCCACAGGAGGCCTGTTCCCTCTCGGGTTGGTCAGGAGGCCAGGCCCGTCCTATGTGGCCAGGCCTTGCCCCGCGGCCCCCATGCGAGCGCTCCTCGGTGCTGACCCTCTGGCTGCGTCTCCTGCCTGGGCGTTGGGGAGGCGTGTGTTCTTTCGTCCTTGGCATCGTTTCTTTGTCGACCGACCCTCACCCGCCGCCAAGGAGCAAACGCTGTGAGCGAAGCTTTTGCCACCTTCCCCCGGGAATTCTGAGGAGGGTAACTCTCTTCCGGAAGGTGGGCAGGACGTGGGTGCCCACGGAGGGTCCCGGGAACGGGGCAGCCCCACAGATCATGACTGTTCAGTGTTCCAGCTCCGTGTGCCCGAGTCCCTGGAGGGCTGAGGACACAGGAGTGTCCCCAGAGCGTTAGGGGCGGTGGGAGCCCCGCGCCTGGGGGGACATGCGGGAGAGAGAGCTGGCCCCGGACAGTGACAGCCCAGGGGGAACGGCCGGGCCGGTGTCTCCCGCAGGTGAGATGGGGGACGGGGGTGGGGGCTGCACCAGCGAGGCCTGCGGGGGCCTCCCCGCTGGATGCAGCAGAGCCAGCTCCGGCATGAGGGGCAGAGCTTGCCCCCGGCCCTCTCTTCCTTTGAGATTCTCTTGTTAAGTCTCCTGACCCCCCAGCCGGGGGCAATGTCACTGGTGAGTCAGGGGAGGGCGTGTGGCTCAGGGTGACAGCTTTGCATGGAGTAATTAGGGGGACGGGGAGGTCGGGAGGTCGTCTTGACGACTCCTGGGATCTCACCGAACCAATGGTCCATCGACCTTTCGGCGACACCTGGCTGGCCTCAGAGCCGCCGCAGGCCAGCCCGCACCTGCAGGTGGGCGCCATGAGCCGGAGCATGGGTAGCCGTGTTTGTAGAACCCCTTGGGGCACGGCCAGGCACTCCGCTGGGCAGGCGGGCTGGCGGCGGGCTGGCCCGGTCCTGTTGGCTCCGGAGCCCCATAGGTGGCCCTCCGACTGAGGGTGGAAGCAGGTGCCGCCTCAGCCTCCGGTCTTCCTTCCGTGAGCTGCCCAGTGGGAAGGAAGCTGTGTTCCTTGCATTCCTCTCGAAGTGAGGAGGTGATTGTTATTTCACAAGCTGCTCCCTGATCCAACTCTACAGAAACCACCACACAGGCGATTCCCTTGTGGGACAGACACTACCTGTGTCCTCCCCGACCGGCCCCAGGCGGGTGTGCCAGCACTGCCAGCACCGTCCTCGTCCCCCCTGTGTGGAGAGGAAGCTGAGGCCAGGCAGGCTAAGGCTGCGGTCACGCCGCAGGCGGGTGGAGGCCGGGCCCACCAGGCGGTCCGGCTCGGCTCCACGGCTCCGACGCGCGCGTGAGGCTTTCCCGTGCTGGGTGGTGTGGAAACCGGCAAAGCGTGAGAACGAAAACAGACGCTAAGGCGCCGGGTTAATTTTCGAATTAGCAGATGCTTTCTATGCCGGCCCCGCCACTGGTGCCAGCGCTCACGCGTTGCTGTGTGGAAACGTAAACTGCCATACACATGGCAGACATCCGCGTGACCGCGTGTGACACGCACCGTGACGCTGACCCAGGAGCGGTGCATCCCAGAGCCCTTCCTGGGAAATGATCCGAAACACGGGAGCTCAGTGCCGCCCACACCAGGGGGCGGGGCCGGCAGCAGGGGAGGGTTAACGGGCATCGTGCACCTGCTTGTGGACTCAAACAAAACCGTTAAACGTTGTGCATGTGCCCGGCAGGTGTGGCTCAGGGGTTGAGCATTGATCTGGAGCCAGGAGGTCACGGTTTGATTCCGGTCAGGGCACAGGCCCGGGTTTCGGGCTCATCCCCAGTGTGGGGTGTGCAGGAGGCAGCCAATGCATGATTCTCTCTCATCATTGATGTTTCTCTCCCACTCCCTTCCTCTCTGAAATCAACTAAAAATATATATATATTTAAATTGTGCATACAAGCCCTGGCCAGTGTGCTCAGTGATTAGAATGTCAGCCTACACACTGAGGGGCTGCGGGTTCGATTCCTGGACCCGGTCAGGGTGCGTGTGGGAGGCAACTAATCGGCATCTCTCTCCCTCTCCCTCTCTCTCTCCCCCTCTCTTCCACTCTCTCTAAAAAAAAAATAAATCAATGGGAAACATCCTGGGTGAGGATTTACAAGAAAGAAACATGCCCGTGTGGAGCTCTCAGCACCCACGGGAACGGGGACTTCATTCGAGGGGAGAAGGGCGGAGTCACAGTGTCCCCGCCGCTCCGACAGGCGCGGGAAAGCGTGAAGGAAGTGCTAGCCCCATGGGGAGGGCTCCGGCGCCATCACGGCTTTCGTTCCGACTTTGCTGCTTCTCGGTTCTCTCAGGGACAGCGTTAATTTCTTGGCAGGCATGAATTTGATAGGAAATTAGTCCTTAGAGGAGTCTG